AAGGCCAATGGCATCCTGGCCTGTATCAGGAATAGTGTGGCCAGCAGGAGCAGGGAAGTGATAGTGCCCCTGTACTCGGCCCTGGTGAGGCCGCACCTTGAATACTGTGTTCAGTTTTGGGCCCCCCACTACAAGAAGGACGCTGAGGTGCTGGAGCGTGTCCAGAGAAGGGCAACGAGGCTGGTGAGGGGTCTGGAGAACAAGTCTTATGAGGAGCAGCTGAGGGAGCTGGGGTTGTTTAGCCTGGAGAAAAGGAGGCTGAGGGGAGACCTCATCGCGCTCTACACCCTGGATCGCGCAACTACCTGAAAGGAGGCTGTAGCGAGGTGGGTGTTGGTCTCTTCTCCCAAGTAACTGGCGATAGGACGAGAGGAAATGGCCTCAAGTTGCACCAGGTGGATGCGAGGAAAAATGTCTTTACTGAAAGAGTGGTTAAACATTGGAACAGGCTGCCCAGGGAAGTGGTGGAGTTCCCATCCCTGGAGGTATTTAAAAGACGTGTAGATGAGGCGCTTAGGGACATGGTTTCGTGGGCATGGTGGTGTTGGGTTGACGGTTGGACTCGATGATCTTAGAGGTCTCTTCCAACCTTAATGATTCTATGATTCTAAAGAGCTACAGGAGGCTAGCAAGAAAACCTGTTTGAATCTTGAATGCTCTACATGCCTCTCATTGCATGATGTCCCAAGCTGCACTCACAGCCACTTTCAATGGCTGATCAGGGTAGGTGGATAGTATAGTTGCAGAAAGTACTCCTTGATTGAGGGTCTGTCCCATTTTTTGAGCGACCACTAGCAAACAGTATTTCTCACACACTTCTCTCCATCTCCCAGTTTCTGCAGATCTAAGCAGGCATCTGGTGCTACTCGCCACTGCTCTAATAAAGACCATGGTGCTGTAAGAGGTTAAACCATTTGCGGAACTGCCTTTCCTGGCTAGGCAGAGCATCAGTAATATGATGGAAAAAAGGGATGATGCAAAGGGATCTGATTGCGCGGCAAAGACCAGGCATGCACACGTGTGCACAGAGCTCAGGCTCCTTGCTCAGCTCCACCTCCAAGACCACCTGTTGGAGGCACAGTCATCGTGATGGTAGCATGCTCGTGCCTCTGAGCCCCTGCAGCAACGCAGAAGCTCGGGGCATTAGGCACGCCACGAGCCCAGAACGCATATCCCAAAGAACCAGCAGACAACAGCAAAATGCTAAGTCCCACCAGTGACCAGGATATCCAAACCAGATCATCTCAGCTCGGTGAACCATGAGAATTCAGGAGCTGTTATCTTCTGTCGGTTACCTAACAATTACAGGCCATTTTTATCACCAATAGTGCCTCGAAATGCACTCATGGTATATTTTTAGAAAGTTTGTTCACAGCAGGAGAGCCTTCTGCTATATTCTGCACTTGACTCTTTTCTGATAAGACCAATCACTAGCAAAATTCAGGACCCTCCCAAATGTATGATGATTATAATACTGAGATACTTTTCCCTCATTACAGATTAATCCTGAACACAAAAAATCTGTTGCACATCGAGGACGGAGCGTTCAGAAACCTTCCAAGGCTAAAGTACTTGTAAGAAAGAGTTCTCTTTCTTTTCTGTTGGGGGGGGGGGGGGGGGGCAAAAAAAGGGGGGGAGAGGCCAAAGAAGTGGACAAATTACAGAAAGAAATATAAGAAAAAAAAGAAGTTTTTCATGCGTTACAGTACACTAAAAGTACATACATCATTTACGATAGCTTTAATGTGCAGTTAACCAATAGTGAGGTCTTTCAATAGGCAAGAAAATAAAGTAACCCAGGGTAGGGCAGTAATGGACAAAACAGTAGTAAAATCTGCAAATTAGTTCTGCTAAGTGCTTATTTCTAGAATAAAGCTTTCAGATAGACAAGGTACTATGCAAAAGAGGTAACTAAAATCTCTTCCTTGTGCTTAATGTAGAGAGAACAAATGCTGCTTCTTCAGGACACTGCTTGAGGATGCTACAAAACTTAATTTTTACAGGTCTTACAAACACAACTGGAGCCTAATTAAAAATTACGATATTTGTCACTCACCTTTTAATACATTGTTAAACTCATACCTACCAAGTTGGCTTCTTGTTGCATCCACTCTGGTAATCTTTTCTCCTGTAAATAGAAATTGTGCTTTTCTCTAGGAGCATTTGTAACACTGGAATAAGACAATTTCCAGATCTGACACAGATCTTCTCATTAGAAGCTCATTTTATTTTGTAAGTAGAGACGCAACCTAACCCAGCTGTGAGCCTTTTCCATCTTGTTCCTGGATCACTGACAAAAATACCCTTTTTTTTTTTTTCCCCTCCCAAAGGGAGCTCTGCGATAACTTGCGTATGACAACTATACCACAAAATGCTTTCCAGGGGATGAACAATGAATCGCTGACACTGTGAGTAAAATAATCCTAGCTCTAGTTCCTTCTGCGAGGGTAACACTTCTGCTTGAGGAAAGCAGGTTGACTTATAAAAACCTTGAAATTAAGCCCCATATGATGTCTGTCTGTATTGTGAATTAAATTTGAAATGCTTAGGAAATAGAGGGGTGTTTTTCAAGCTGAAGAGCAGGGTTTTATCCAAAAGCTAACTTCACTTAGGAAAGAAAATAGGAGGAGGAATCCAAATCCTCATCTTCCATGCAACATTGTTTTTAAAAATACCATCAACAGGACATAAACTCCAAAAGCTGCGCTGGAGGCCAGAGTCTGTC